ACTCCTTCACAGGCAATTATAATTAAGTGTGATGTATCAATATCCCGTCCTGGACCAAAAGATCAATAATGGCAGGAACTGAGAAATAAATCTGTCTCATTCACTACTATATCTCCAATAGCTAGCACAATGATTGGCTAGAAGTGCAAATGTATAAAAAAAACCTGAATGAATAAATAATTTGATATTAATATTCAGCGGTTATTTTGGAAAAAAAATGTAAAGCTTATCTACTTCCCCAGTATAAACTGATTACATGCTAGTTCAGTTCAATTCAGCAAGTATTTACTGCTTAGCCACCTCAAAAAGAATATAAGCCAGGGTACAATCCTCAAGGAACGTACAGTTTTATAAATAAGACACACAAACACATGAAAGCTACTAGTAAACACCACAAAACCCTGTATTATTTCATTCTAAGGTACCCTGAATAGAAGAAAGGAGATAAGACAAAGGATTGGGCACGTGTACTTGGAGTAGGATTTGAGTGAGCCTTAGGGCAAGTAAGGCTGAAGACAGAAAATAGAAATGTGCTAAGTTAGCAGTTCTGAAAGTGAATCTGAAAACAACCTCCTGAAGACACCATCCTCCTTTCCGGGTGGGTCCGTAAGGTCAAAAGTACTTTATAAGACTATGATGTTAGTTGCTTTTTTAAATGTTTGCTTCCATTCATTCTCAATTATATCAATAATAAATGCAGTATTCCAGAGGCTATACTCCATGTGATAGCACATTGAATGCAGAAGTAGGTATGAAAACTCAACTGTTTTCATTAAGCCAACCATTAAAGAGATCTGTAAAAATGTAAAACAATGCCACTTACTACATTTGTATTATTTTGAAAAAATAGTCCTTCCTTAAAAATGTTATTTGTGCCCTGACCGGTTTGGCTCAGTGGATAGAGCGTCGGCCTGCGGACTGAGGGGTCCCGGGTTCGATTCCGGTCAGGGGCATGTACCTTGGTTGCAGGCACATCCCCAGTGGGGGTTGTGCAGGAGGCAGCTGATCGATGAATCTGACTCTCTATCTCTATCCCTCTCCCTTCCTCTCTGTAAAAAATCAATAAAATATATTTTAAAAAATGTTATTTGTGTTCAAATGTCATGAAATTATTGCTAATTTTCAGTGAATTAATATTTTAGTTTTCTTAGTTTTAATTTCTATTTCGATAAGTATTGATTTATAACCTATCTAACCAAAGCTCTTTTAAGTCCTCAATAATATCTTAAGTGTCTAATGGGCTACCAACCCTGAGCTAGTTGTTTTTAAGAGATGGATGAAGCCTAGATTCTCTGTGTAGAGAAGATAATTTAGATATATTAGGCATTTGTTGAGGCACTGCATAACTTAAAAACATGTTTAAAGTACAGGTAGGGACTTTCCTCTCAGTAAAGTTATTTTTACTTAGTGCAAAATATAAAAACAATCTTTAAACATCATTTTTATTCTTCCACCTAAATACAATATGTATATTCATATTTTTTGAATTACTGTACATATATGGACGTTTTTATATTTCTATCTTCACATTGATAATTTAAAGTCGCTGCATAATCATATCCAGCATTCTTACAAACCTCAATAGCAACTTTCGCATTTGGTTTTTAAAGTATTTTATAAAAATTACTAAAGCCTCATGCAAGAAAGAATATGGAAAATTACTATCCCAAAAAACTTACTTCTAGAATACCAAGGGATCTTATGTTATACCAAACTTGCCTGAGACATCCTGTAGCTTGGAAAACAAAGATAACCCCATTTTGCCCGTGAACTTCTGGAAACCTTGAATTCAGAACTACATCTCTCTCCAGCTTTGAAAGCTCTACACGCTCTCAAATTCCCTCAAGAACCTGTTTCCCATCATTTCAGGTGCTACCCATCGTTCCCTAAACACAATTAAAGCTTGCATGGGTCCTTTCCACACCTGAAATAACTTTTTATCTAATCTGGACCCACCCAAAGTTCATCCTTTAAAGGTCAACGTGGAAGTAACTCATCCCAGATTTCTGAATTTCTTTCAACTGAATGTTACATCCCTCTTTGAATATCTAAAGGACTTTGTGTGAACATCTCTCAAAATACAAATTATACTCTGCTTTCATTATCACTTTTTTAAAAAAGATTTTTTATTTTTATTTTGAGAGAAGAAGGGAAAGGGAATGAGAGAAACATGGATCAGCTGCCTCCTGCACACCCCATTATCAATATTTTTTATCTCACCACCTCTTTTAGATCTTAAACTTCTTTAGGGCAGGAACTGTTTTATCATCTCTATTTCTTGAGGCCCATGGGAAAGGGGAAAAAGTGCTGAGGAAAATGAGGCCAGACAAACTATACTCTACCCCACATCACATACCCAGTGATTGAAAGAGTCCAATGTGAATGCCAGACTGCCTGACTAAAAGCCATGTGCTTTCTACCATATTATCCCAATCTCCCTTCCTTACATCCCTTACAACAATAAATACTCAAGAAATGTATAAAATTAAATGGAATCAGACTGGCTTTGTTCTTAATATCAAGGAACCTCTTAGGTGAAAAATACAGAAAAAATAATTTCTACAATCGTACTTTTGCCACCTTAGCATCATACCCACATATATATTATTATAGCCAACAGAACACGTTTCATGTGCAGTTTTCAGGAGACAGCCCTGAGACCCACATCTCTGATCCTGAAGTATTAAATGTCTACCAACACCGTATTTTTCCTGATTCTTGATTTGAACATAATTGGAGATGACAGAATAAGATTTCAATAAATGTTTGTTGAATAAATGTGATAAAATTAATCATTTCTTCTACTGACTAGGAACCTGGATTTACTTTCTCTAGTTCCTCCTCTAATTTCTTCACCATTACTATCTCAGAGCAATAATAGTTAACAAATACAATATATATTGGGCTACAGAAAATACAGCAAGGCTCCCCGGAGGATCAGGCCTAAGCTGGCAGTCAGACATTCCTCTGGCAGCCCAGGAGTCCTTAGGAGATGTCCAACTGTTGGCTTAGGCCCGCTCCCCGTGGGCATCGGCCACAGCAGGATGGTGGAGCAGGTGAGCTGTGGCGCCAGACCAAGGTGGGGTGCTGGTCACTATCACTGGGGTGAGCTTCTGGTGGTTAGTGAAAATTCTTTACTCCTGCACGCTCACACCTGCTGCCGGCGCCGGCCCTGCTCATATTCGCTGCTGGTGCTGGCCCCAATTGCTCTGCGCTGTCAGCGGGTGTGAGCAGGGCCAGCGCCATCAGTGCATGGGGGTGGTGGTGGTGGTGGCAGCGGCGGGGGCGGGGGCGGCGGTGGTGGTGGCAGCGGCGGGGGCGGGGGCGGCGGTGGCGGTGGCGCTGCCATCAGACAGGGGACCAAGGGCTGAAGCAGGAGGGGCCGGGCGGGGGTGGGGAGGATGTACTGAGACCCACCCCTGTGCCCACTGCAGCCTTGCACCCCACAGTTCAAGTTGCACGAATTCGTGCACTGGGCCCCTAGTACCAAATAAAGTATAAAACCTAGCATGTAGCAGGGACTTAATATTTCTGAATGAAGAAACTGTTTCCCTCTTACTCTTAATTTATAGTAACATGTATTATATATTGTTTATATGTTAGATAACAAAGTATATAATATATAGTACATCGCCCAGCTGGTGTTGCTCAGTGGTTGAGTGTCAACCCATGAACCAAGAGGTCACGGTTCGATTCCCAATCAGGGGACATGCCCAGGTTGCGGGCTCCATCTCCAGTAGGGGGTGTGCAGGAGGCAGTCGATTGATGATTCTCTCTCATCACTGATATTTCTATCTCTCTCTCTCCCTCCCCTTTACTCTCTCTGAAATCAATAAAAACATATATGTAATACATTACTATTATATAATAAAGAACTTGCCTCCCTTTGCCACAGGTTCCTGAGAAGTACCCCCTAAATCCTTGGATATCTAGAGTAATTGATAGTTTATGTTAACAAATTAACAAGGTGTCTTTTATACTCATTGTGGGTGCCCAGACAGTTTATGCTAATGAAATGACTCAGGATGGGAGCCAGTCAAGCCAGAAAGGCCAACCTTGTGATCAGAGGCTTGGTGTCCTGGAGACTGAGTTAAATCATGTAGCAAAAGCTTATTCAATGAAATTCTAATAAAAACTCTGGACATCAAAGCTCTGGTGAGCTTCCATGGTTAACCATACTCTGTGTACTGTTACACATCAGTGTGTCAGGAAGTTGATGCCTTCTGACTCCACAGGAAGAAGATACAGGAGCTTCATGTTTGGGACCTTCCCAGACCCACTCTGTGTCTTTTTTTTTTTGGCTAGTCCTGACTTGTGGTTTTTTTTTTTTTTTGCTATAATAAAACTGTAATTGTAAGGTTAGCACTTTCCTGAGTTCTCTGAGTCACTGTAGTAAATTTCTGAACCTAAGAGGGTAGTAGAAACCCCTGAATTTGTAGCCAGCTGTGCAAAAATGTGGGTGGTTTGATAACTCCTGAGCTTGAGAATGGTGAGTGAAGTGAGGGTGTCTTGTGGGGGCACTGAGCCCTTAATCTGTCTAACACCAGGTAGTTAGTGTCAGGACTGCACTATAATTACAGCACAAGTAACAGATATTTCATAAAAATGCATCAGGCATTAAACAAGCATTTTTACATACATGATTTCTAAATCTTTAGAAAACATCTCTAAGTCTCACAATAACTGCACATGATAGAATTATTATCCTAATTTTTTAAGTAATAAACTAAGGAGTAAAAGCTACAGAGATGGTGGAGCCAAAACTCAGACTCAGCACTGTCTGACTCAAAAGCCCAGAATCTAATCACTACCCTCACCAGCTTCTCATTACTGGTCATATACTGTAAATACAACACAAGGTAGCTATGGAAGAATGCATGGCACCTGAACTGAGAGGTAACTGTAAAATCTACGGTACTCGTATGAATTTACGAACTCTTTATATGAAATATAAAATAGTGTAATTTAATACAAATTTCCTTAGCAATTGCTTAACTTACTTGTTTGCGTTTTGGAAACATGTTTCTGGAGAAAATCAACTATCTGAGCCAAAACCTTCTTATGACAATGTGTTGATAATTTTTCATCACACTCGTAACACCTGAAAACATATAACATTTAAGCAAATTCTGAAAGTATCTTTAATAATTTTGCACATGAGGTAATAAAGTTGGCACTTACCTGCTTTTGTCTTTCAATTATGAGAGTAAGGGAAGTAGGTACAAAGGGTGAGGCACCAGGAAAATCAAGAGAAATAAGCAGTGGACAGTTAATACTGAACCTTATTATTCAATTAAAGTTTTGGTAGTTTATCCTAAATACAATGGAACGCCATGAGGTGTTTTCAAGCAGGAAAGTGATATTATCCACTTTAAATTTAAAAACACCACTCTGACTAATATCAAATTAGAGGGTATCGGGAATAAAAGCAGATCAGTGGATCCTGAAAACAATGAACAGATTTATCTTATATATTTTCAGGCATAGACATGAGAAGGGAGAAGTGGATGGGGGTACGTCAGTGATTCTCAAACGGGAGCAATTTTGCCCTTAGAAGACATTTGGTAATATTTTGAGACCATTTTGGTTGTTATCCTGGGGAAGCTGCTACTGACATCCGTGGGTAGAGAGGCCAGGGATGCTGCTAAACATCCTATAACGTACAAGACAGCCCCTTACAACCAAGAATTATCAGCCCAAATGACACTAGTACTGAGATTGAGAAATCCTGGTTTAAATAAAACAAGACTAGCTGAGAGTTAGTAATATTTAAAGCTGGGTCATGGATATAGAGGAAAAATTCATTATACTATTTGTCTACTATTGTTAAAAGGTTAAAAAATAAAACAAGATAAAAAAGGGAAGAAAACAACACTGCCAGGCTTCTGGCTTGAATACTTAGTTCCACTTATAGAGATGGGGAAGACTGGCTGACATCAGTGTTTTATTTTGTTTGAGGTTTAATTGGAAAGAATGGTTTAGGGGATGATTTCCAAAAATGCATACCCTTTCAGAAAACCAACCTCCACTAAGTTTACTCATTAATGCATACAGTACTAATAAAGGTTTCTTATATATATTATCATTACCTGTTCCCTTTATCTTCATGAGATCCAAAGATCAAATAAAAACATGTGTTTGAAAGCAATGAAATTTGATAAATGTAATGTGTTGTACTAACACTAACGTATATATATTCACAATCTTCTTATAATTATTAATGGTCCTGGGATCAATGGCTGTAAACTAGATTTAGGTTCCTTTCCTAAATAGTATTTATAGTCAAATATTTACTGAGTGTCCCCTCTCTCACTTATACACAAAAATAGATACAAAGATAAGTCCATGAAGGAAATGAGTCACAGAAAACATCCCCAAATGACTTTTCGATAAAGAATTTAAACAAGCCGAACCGGTTTGGCTCAGTGGATAGAGCGTCGGCCTGCGGACTCAAGGGTCCCAGGTTCAATTCCGGTCAAGGGCATGTACCTTTGTTGCAGGCCATCCCCACTGGGGGGCGTGCAGGAGGCAGCTGATCGATCTCTCTCATCAGTGTTTCTAACTCTCTATCCCTCTCCCTTCTTCTCTGTGGAAAATCAATAAAATATAGAAAAAAAAGGAATTTAAACAAGTTAATAACAGTTACCAGGCTTACATGATAGATGCTCTATACTTACGAATGTAACTATTGTCAAAAATAATAAAATGTAATTGCTCATTTTAAAGATGTTGAAATGTCAAGAAATTTTTACTGACATTGCAATTTAATGTTTACTTGTTATAAATATACTGTAACTTTAAGAGTACAAAAAGAAAATGTAAATAAAAGCTGCACAATGGCAGTGGAGTTGGAGAAAAGAAGACAGCTCAAAATAACTTAATTCTACTTGTTTTCATTAGAAGTAAAAAAAAAATTTTTTTAATTGAGCATATACTATGAACCAGGCACTGTTCTAAGTGCTTTACATGTATTTTATGGTTTAATTCCTCACAACAACCCAAAAAGTATTATCATTTTAAAAATAAATAACTTTACAGAAGTATAAGATTTTATTTTTACATATGACAAACTGAGACACTTTAAAAAGCAGTCATTCATACATTAACTTTTAAGTGTTAAATCAGATTCTTGCTTAGGCATAAGAATCACCTATGGAACTTAAAGATACAAAAGCCCTGATTTCAGAGGGGACCACTGGCACCCCTGGGCTTTTAAAATTCTACTGTGTGTCTGACTCTGACATGAATTCAAAGATAAGAAACTACTGTGCTAATTATTATTATTGATTAAAGCAGTACCAAATCCACTATCTAGCAACACTTTTTTAGCCATAATTAAATGATCAAATCTACAATATTCCTTTCTTTTTTCAGTTTCTTAGGTTTTACCCTAGTTCAGGCTGGCCTCTCTTTAATCCAAATTAGTGAAATTTTCTATTGAAATTGTTAATCTTTTTAACGTTTAAGAATTAGATGGGAGCCTGACCAGTCTAGCTAACTGGTTGAGCATCTATCCATATGAACCAGGAGGTCACCGTTCGATTCCTTGGTCAAGGCACATGCCCAGGTTGCGGGCTTGATCCCCAGTGGGGGTGTGCAATCAATGATTCTCTCTCATCACTGATGTTTCTATCTCTCTCTCCCTCTCCCTTCCTCTGTAATCAATAAAAACATATTATAAAAAAATAATTAGATGAGAAAAGAAAATAGTCACAACCTTTAAATTTCTATAGCTGTATGTGACAAACTTGAATTTCTTCCTTTAAACAGGAAATGATTCCCTTAGGACCACAATCATGATCCTAAGAGCTACAATGGCAGTCTTGACACAGACTGACTTGAGATGAGACTATTCTACCAGGTTCCACTCAATTCTCCCATCACCTTTTCCCATTGCAATGGTCCTCAAATTGTGGTCCCAGACCAGCAGCACTGGCAACACCTGGGGACATAGAAAGGCAAATTCTCAGGCCCTACCCTAAAACTGCTAAATCAGAAACTGTAAGCCTGGGACCCAGCAATCTACTTTAACAAGCCCATCCCATAGTTTGAGACCATTGCTTCCTTTAAGACTACTGAGAAATGTTTATTGTGCTGCCATACTAGACATCATCCCCCCTTTCCTCTAGCTCCAATGCACTATTTACATATTAAGTTCCCTCTATTTTTGCCTTCTTTGATTTTAATATGTTTTTATTGATTTTGGAGAGAGAGGAGAAGAGAGGGAGAGAGAGAGATAGAAACATGGATGAAAGAAACATCGATTGGCTGCCTCCTGTACATCCCCTACTAGGGATAGAGCCTGCAACTCAGGCATGTACCCTGACCGGGAATCGAACCAGTAACCTCTTGGTGCATGGGTCGATGCTCAACCACTGAGTCACAAGCCAGGCAATTTTTTTCCCTCATTCTCCCCAATACTATTGCTTGGAACCAACAACAACAAAAACACAAATGCTGCAACCATCTGACCTTGTGGATGAATTAAATTATAAGATGGTGATCTCTCCAACCAGCCAAAATATTCTAATATTAATTTTAGAACCCTGAAATAAAAACACAAAGTTAAAATATTTTTGTCTTAAGAAAACTCCTGAAAACTCATTCAAGGAATCCTAGGAGTCTATAAATTCTAGTTAGAAAATTTTTGTTGTAAAATACAAGGAAAGCATTTCAATAGTGTTCACTTATACCACTGAAGCTGTGTGGTATGCTGAGAAGAGACTAGGGACTCAAAAAAAAGACTTGTTTTAGTGCCTGGATTTTTATTGTGTAACCACAAAAAGGTAAATGATATTCAGTGTCCTTATGCATAAAGTGAGGGAACGGAACTTGATTTCCAAGTAAGGTTTCATAGTAGATTCCCTAAGAAGTTCCCTTTTACCTACAGAGCATCACCATACACTTGACTGCTTCAAGCTCCTTCCTCCTCTAGAACTTGGGATTCTGTATTAGCAAGTTCATTACGAAAAAGTGACTGGAAAGAATTTTTCTATTTTCTTTCTTATTTAAATTTTATATTCATGAGTAATTATTTTCTTAAATTATTCCATAGGTTGTAGTCAGGCTAAAAAGCATAAGCTGGTATAACATCTTTAATTATTTTACCCATAAAGCTAAAAAAAAAAAAAGAGGGTATTTTTGTAGTGGACATAAGTACTAACAAAATCTAACTTACCATATAATCCATGAGCTCAGACTAATTATAATACAGTGAAGCTCTGTTCTCCAACTCTTGAAGTGCTTCAACGAATGCTGGCTTTCTGAGTTTTTACCACATCCCTAAAGAGGAACAGATTGCTGTTTTGATTTACATACATATTTGTTTCTAAATCAACCAAAACTTAAATCATACCCGAACTCAAAAATCATAAAAATACAAATAGTAAAAGAAGGTCTAGATATGAGAACTATTTCGAGTGGACTGGATTCCTTTTCAAGTTCTTATAAACCACACATGATTACTTTCTGAACAAAACACCTTTTACTTTACCTTAAAGATTTCTAAGACATTTCTTGGAGAGTTCTATCAAAACATGGAATAAATTTATCTTAAGTTCTTAGCATTACTGACAATCCAACTCAAAATAATCATTAAGGAAAATATTTAAGACAAACTCTCACATAAAAAAACAAACAAAAAACTTTTCTCACCTGAAAACCACACTTGAGGCACAACCAAATCTCAGAAGAAAGTACTGGCTGTCCATCATGGAATCTTCTTTCTTTTAAACATTCTGAGCAAGCTGACCACAGATTCTCAGCTATTGCTTTTTTCACATGATTCACACTGACAGCATGACTTACATGTTGGCAAGTGAAACCTACTGAATAAGACAAAACAAAATTTGAGCATTTTCTTTACTAAACCAAAGTGCTATCATCAGTAAGCAAACTCACTAATATTAAAATGCTGTAAAAAGCACTGAGATTGAAAAAAAGAACAAAATAACTCATAAAGGATACATATTGCATGATTCCATTTATAAAACACTTGTGAAATAACATAATTATAGAGTTGGAGAACAGATTAGTGGTTGCCAAAGGCTGCAGATGGGGAGAAACTCAGAGCTGTGGCTGTAGACAGGTATCAACTTTGGGTGGTGATTTAACAGTCAAGTATCTTGATTGTGGTGGTTATAGAAAGCTACACATGTAATAAAATTGCAAAACTACTAATGCATGTGCATAGACACACACACACACACACACATATATATATCTGGTGAATGCATATATATCTGGTGAAATCTGAATAACCTAAGCATTGCACCTATGTCAGGTTCCTGGTTTTGATATACTATAGAAATACAATATGTTAAACCAAGAGAGGTTAAGTGAAGGGTGAGTGGGATCTCCTTGTATATTTCTTTGTACCTTCCTGTGAATCTAAAATTAGTTCAAAAATAAAAATTTAATAAATAAAAAGAGATTATTTACTGAGCAGCTACAATGTGTCTAGCATTTTGAATATATTTTCTTTCCATTAAGATACACACCTAAAATCTTTTTTTTAATTCTTATTAAGGTATTACATATGTGTCCTTATCCCCCATTCCCCTCCCCACCTCCTCACTCATGCCCTCACCCCCCTGGTGTCTGTGTCCATTGGTTAGGCTTATATGCATGCATACAAGTCCTTTGGTTGATCTCTCCCCCTTCCCCTCCCCTCCCCTGCCTTCTTTCTGAGGTTTGATGTTCTGATCGATGCTTCTCTGTCTCTGGATCTGTTTTTGTTCATCAGTTTATGTTGTTCATTATATTCCACAAATGAGTGAGATCATGTGATATTTATCTTTCTCTGACTGACTTATTTCGCTTAGCATAATGCTCTCAAGGTCCATCCATGCAGTTGCAAATGGTAGGGGTTCCTTCCTTTTTACAGCAGCGTAGTATTCCATTGTGTAGATGTACCACAGTTTTATAATCCACTCATCTGCTGATGGGCACTTAGTCTGCTTCCAATTCTTAGCTATTGTAAATTGTGCGGCTATGAACATAGGGATGCATACATCCTTTCTGATTGGTGTTTCTGGTTTCTTGGGATATATTCCTAGAAGTACACACCTAAAATCGTTTTGAATAGACGCTATTTTCATCATTGTTGGGAGAAAGGAGAGAGAGGAACAATGGCATAATTTACAGGAATAAGAATTCTCAGAATTCTCCTTAATGAATATTCCCAAATAACAAATGATTTTGCATGGTCCTTAATTACCCCTTATAACATATTCCCGCTGTGTGCATTGTGTGGAGACAAATGATCAAAATAAGCAAGTATGTTTTTAATTTTCAAATAACCATATTCTTCTCCCAAGGGCACAAAGATGCTTCCATTTCTCCCAAATACCTGAGTACTTTAATTTCTTCACCTCAAATATTCCAAACACCAAGCTATAACTACCTGCCAAAATCAAACCGAGACTGAGCAACTTGAAGAAGGAAACAGAAAGAGTATGTACATTTCAACTTTCTCCACTTCCCTTTCAAAATGAGAGGCATTCCTTTTCACCTACTGTTTAACTAGAGACAGCCTAAACATTACTTCCATTTCATCCTGAAGGCTAAGAATGTGATTCCTGGCAAGTTACTTGTTGTTTTTAAATATATTTTTATTGATTTCAAAGAGGGAAAGAGAGCTAGAAACATCAATGATGAGAGACAATCATTGATTGGCTGCCTCCTGCAAGCCCCCCACTGGGGAATGAGCCCGCAACCCAGGCATTGCCCTTGACCAGAATCGAATCTGGGACCCTTCAGTCCGCAGGCAACACTCTATCCACTGAGCCAAACCAGCTAGGGCCTGACAAGTTACTTATAATAAAATACAATTTTAACAGAAATAATATATAAATCTGGTAAAAGATTAAAACTCCTCATTTTACACCAAGAGCAAATTATAAGAATAGACATAAAGGAGTATGTTTGAACTATATCTGAAGTATGTCTGAAGTCCTAGGTTTGAAAAACAAGGATGCATGCCATTAAGAAAGGGCTGTTCGGTGTGTGTGGTGGGGGGACGAATAAATAATCACTCAAGTTCAAAACCTGCAAATGGGCTAGAAATGGGACAAAGGAAACTAAAAAGAAAATAAACAAATGGTCTACATCAAAACAAAAAGCTTCTGCACAGGAAAAGAAACCACCAACAAAATGAAAAGAGATCCCACTGCATGGGAGAACATATTTGCCAATGATACATCCGATAAGGGGTTAATTTCCAAAATATATAGGGAACTCATATAACTTAACAAAAGGAAGACAAACAATCCAATTAAAATCTGGGCAAAGGACCTAAATAGGCACTTCTTCAAAGAGAACATACAAATGAGGCACACGCTCCCAACTGGGAATCAAACACACGACCCAGGGGCTGATGCTCCAACCACCAAACCAAACCAGCCAGGGCAGCAGTTCAGTTCTTTTGAAAAATTCTCTAAATATTTCTTTGGTTGCAAACCAATTTGGTTCTGTTTTTAAATGACATTTTCATTGGATATAGAATTCCAAGGTGACAGTCTTAGTCTTTCCTGAAAAATAAAGATGTTCTTCCATTGTCAAACAAAACCTAGAAATGGTTTTACCACATGCCATTGTTTTGTTTGTTTTTATATTTTAACATTCTAAGAGTAAAATCATTCCACATACCTCCTATATCGTCTTTGGGATGGGATCTGGTCAGGTTACAACTTAACCATTCTCTGATTCTATAATTCAGATTTCTAATACTGAAATTGTTAATGAATTCAAGATAAAAAGACATTAAAAAAAAAAGACAAGACCAAAATGGAGTCAGTTATGCAAAGCCCCATGTCACCAATTCAGTTCTTAATTCCTAACTTAATTACAGTTTCTGCCTCTGGGAAGGAATTTTAAACCAGGAATGGAATCTTAAAGCAGTCAACCTGGAATAACGTGGTCAGCACTAGTGAGGTAATCTGCAAGGACACCCATCAACCCTTAAGCAGCGGTTCTCAACCTGTGGGTCGAGACCCCTTTGGGGGTCGAATGACCCTTTCACAGGGGTCGCCTAAGACCATCGGAAAACACATATATAATTACATATTGTTTTTGTGATTAATCACTATGCTTTAATTATGTTCAATTTGTAACAATGAAATTGGGGGTCACCACAACATGAGGAACTGTATTAAAGGGTTGCGGCATTAGGAAAGCTGAGAACCACTGCCTTAAAGGAAAGTGGTCGTGCCACACAAACCTGCTTTTTGCTAGTATAACCTCCTTGTCCTGCTCCCTTTTGCCTATAAAAGACTTTCATTTTGGAGCTCCTTTCTGTCTGCTAGATGGGATGCTAACCAATTCATGAATTATTAGATAAAGCCAGTAAGTTATTTAAAATTTACTTAGTCAGATTTTTAAAATACGTCCCAGGCCCCTAAATTAAGTCAATTAGCTTTTAAATGTCTCACCATATATACTTTTTATAAGTATAAGAAAATTTAAAAGCTTGAAGTTTTCCTTCGAGAGCTAACCAGTGTTTAAATGGAACCATATTGGGGGGAGGGGAATATTAAAAAATTCCTTGTGTGTTAATAAGCAGTTTTCTATAATTTTAGTCATATAATTATCTAAATTTCATCTGACAAGTAGGCCCTCTAGAGATTTCTGAATAAAAATATAAAAATGTGTTAAAGTCTATAGTTGTTTCACATTAACAAATCTAAAACAATAATCCAAATCTCCATGTTTTCTACTTTAAATATTAATAAAAAAAACTTTATAAGGATGTCTTCCAGCTTGCAAATAGTGGCATAAAAATCATCACTTCTTTTTCCTCCCAGAAAATATCCAAGGACAAAAAGAAAAAGTAACAAACATCATTTTCAGTGAAACCAGGATACAGCTGAATATCCAAGTCGCAAAGTCAGAGGAAGAGCCCCCACCTTGAAGCAGCAGAGATCAAACAGGAGTACACACAGGAGGCAGAGAGAATACTGCAGCTGTGGCTTTCATAGAGAATGGCGTATACTTCGCAGACACAGAACAAAACCCAAATCTCTGTGCTGCACCAACAGGGGCTCCCCTATATTCAATTTTGTTTTCAGAAGAAGCACAAGTAGAGACTTTCTCATTCAGTGGGGGGCGGAGGGGGGGGGGGACAAAAAAGCCAGCCATATTTGCAAGGAACAGACTTGTCTCTATATGGCAGTTGGGAAGAGAGATACTTTGGATTCAAAAACAAACAAACAACAGTGCTGCATAATCCTGGTGGTTGGAAAGAAGCAAAGGCTAAATGACTCAAAACTCAAAATTCTTGTTAGGTCTCAACAGTGCTCTGGCCCTCCTTCCAGCATAAATATTCTAAAACTTACTGGCCCAAGAAAGGCAACCCTACATCAAAAAATGAGTATTCAAAGTAAAAAATTAAAAAATGCAAATTCTAGGCTGAGATAACATAAGATAAAGGAAGAAAGGAAATGAAAAATCATGGCAGAGTAATCACTGCCAGGAAATAAAAACACAAAACAGAAGCAGAGAGAATACAAACAGTAGTAAAATAACAGGAAGTAACTAGCAGAGTTCAGGAAAGAAGTGGAAGAAAAACATAATAAAACCACAAAAATGAAGGCAAAACTCAAGTACATAAGGTGACTGCTGAAAACACACCAAAGGATAAAAATAAGAACAGCAAGCAAAATGAAAAGGAAAGAGGAGTTTTAGAGGATTTTAGAAAAAAAATGATAACTATGGAAGGAAGACAGGCAAAGGAGAGTTAGCATAAGAATAATCAGAATCCCTGAAGAAAACCGTATTAACAAGAGACTATTTAAAGATAAAATTCAGACTTTCTTCAATTCAATAATTTAGCTATCCTGAAACATTATCCAGATTATAAAACATGTAAAAATGAAAATAATATGTTAAAAACATTATATATATATATATATATACACACACATATATATACACACACACACACACACACACACACACACACACTAGAGGCCCGGAGCACAAAAATTTGTGCACTCGGGGGGGAGAGGAGAGGCCCTCAGCCCGGCCTGTGCCCTCTCACAGTCTGGGACCCCTCAGGGGATGACCACCTGCTGGCTTAGGCCCGCTCCCTGGGGGATTGGGCCTAAGATGGCAATCAGACATCCCTCTGGCAGCCCGGCAGCCCTCGGGGGATGTCCACTTGCCAGCAGGGAGCAGGCCTAAACTGCAGTCGGACATCCTTAGCGCTGCTGAGGAGGCAGGAGAGGCTCCCACCACCACTGCTGTACTGGCAGCCATCAGCCTGGCTTGTGGCTGAGCAGAGCTCCTCCCATGTGAGAGCACCCTGACCACCAGAGGGCAGCACCTGCATTGAGTGTCTGCCCCCTGGTGGTCAGTGTGTGTCATAGTGACCAGTCATTCCCAGTCATTCTGCTGTTAGGGTCAGTTTGCATATTACCCTTTTACTATATAGGATAGAGGCCTGGTGCACGGGTGGGGGCAGGCTGGTTTGCCCTGAAGGGTGTCTTGGATCAGGGTGGGGGGTCCCGCTTGGGTGCCTGGCCAGCCTGGATAAGGGGATGATGGCTGTTTGCATCTGGTTGCACCCCCTTCAGGGTGGTGGTTCCTACTGGGGTGCCTGGCCAGTCTGGGTGAGGGGCTGAGGGCTGTTTTCAGGCTGGCGGGCGACTGAAGCTCCCAACCTCTCCTTTTTTCTTTTTTTTTTTTTTATTCTGGGATTTATTTACCTTCTATGGCTGTCACTGGAACTGAGAGCCGGCTTTAGCTCTGAGGCTCTGAGACCTTGGCTGCTGAAAGCAGGTCTCTGGGTTTGTTTGGATTCTATAATTGAAACACTGTTTCAGCTCCAGCTCCGAGGCTGGCTGGCTGAAAGCAGGTTTCTGGGGATTGTTTAGCTTCTATAATTGCAACATTGTTTCTTAGACTGCAGCTCAGAGCCCAGCAGCGGCAGGCGGGGAACCTTGGCTTCCTCCATCATTGGAGCAAGCAAGCCTCCTGTTCACTTCAGCTGCCTGGCTGCCAGCCGCCATCTTGGTTGGCAGTTAATTTGCATATCTCGCTGATTAGCCAATGGGAAGAGTAGCAAAGTTACAGTTAATTACCATGTTTCTCTATTATTAGATAGGGTGAGGCCCAGTGCATGACATTCATGCACTGGGGCGGGGGGTCCCCTCAGTCTGGCCTGTGCCCTCTCGCACTCGGGGGATGTCTGCTCTAGCTAGAGCCTAAGCCAGCAGTCAGATATCCCCAAAGGGGTCGCTAGGACTGCCGCAGTGGCGCTGCGCTCGCCAGCCGTGAGCCTGGCTTCTGGCTGAGGGGGCTCCTCCTGTGGGAGCTCACTGACCACCAGGGGGCAGCTCCTGCATTCAGTATCTGCTCCCTGGTGGTCAGTGTGCATCATAGCAACCGGTTGTTCTGCCATTTGGTCAATTTGCATATTAGCCTTTTATTATATAGAATATTTTTATTGATTTCAGAGAGGAAGGGAGAGGGAGAGCTAGAAACAATGATGAGAGAGAATCATTGACCAGCTGCCTCCCGCACGCCCCCCACTGGGTTTCAAGCCGCAACCCAGGCATGTGCCCTTAACCAGAATCGAACCCAGGACACTTCAGGCCACAGGCTGACGCTCTATTCACTAAGCCAAACCAGCTAGGGCTTCAAGACATCTTTTTAAATGAAGAGCTGAACTAACTGGTAAGAAAGTAAAGAAAATCCTCCAAGGCCAAAACCAAAGGCATGAGGCTAATGCAGGTCCTAAAGCCAGCAGCTCTCCAGGATCATCTGTACCTCAGTGACATTGATGAGGAAAATAAGTCATTTTCTGCGGGGGGAGACAGCAGCCTGACTCTGTACCTAGTTAATTAGTATCCCTCATGCACATTCCTGTTAGCCTATAGTCTAGTCCAGCAGTGGGCAAACTATGGCCCGTGGGCCGGATCCGGCCAGTTTGAAATGAATAAAACTAAAAAAAAAAGACTGTACCCTTTTATGTAATGATGTTTACTTTGATTTATATTAGTTCACACAAACACTCCATCCATGCTTTTGTTCCGGCCCTCCAGTCCAGTTTAAGAACCCATTGTGGCCCTCGAGTCAAAAAGTTTGCCCACCCCTGGTCTAGTCACTGCCCCTTCCTTAATTATCTGGTCTTGCAAGACCTGTTTACCTAAGTATTCCCATTTTACAGAGGCCTTAAACCATGAACAATACACAACCCTCGGAGGGGGTTATCAGCGCTGGCGCCAGGCCAGGCCTTTAGGTGTGGTCTCAGGGCCCCCATCCTAACACATGGGGCTTTTTGCAAAGCCCACGAAAGGTCTGGAAGTCTGATCCATATTTGGGGGACAAAGAAACCAAAGGGTATAAAGGGAAAGCTTCCTCCATATTGGTTTGCTCAGGATTTGGAAACAGGCTCCCCTAAGTCACAGTACTAGTACATCTGGAAATAAATGGCTTTTTCCTGTATCTCCGAGTACTCCTGTGTGAGTATTTTCCAGTCGCCTGGTAAATTCTGTAACAATGTAAACACTGGTTTTAATAGACGATGAGAAACAGGGCAATGACAAAAATAAGCCACTTCTGATTACTTTATCAACTAAACAAAATATCAATAAAAACACCAACAGCAGCTTTTGAAACTAAACAAACTTATTTTTATGTTTACACAGAAAATGGTAAAAACAAAGAGAAAAGATTTTATTAATTAAAAGTATATGTTTAACCACTATGCTGTACATTTGAAACCAATACAAAATAATACTGAATGTAAACTGTAATTTAAAAATAAAATAAAAAACGTATGTTATTTCTTTTCTGGAACACTATTTAGGAGGCCAGTCACAACGTACCAGCAATGTCATCTGAAGAGTCTTCATCATGAGGTATTGTCGGCCTTTTACTTCTTTTGGCTTTCTCAGATAAAACTTTGGAAGGCTCTTTCACCCGCATCTGTTATTTACTGAAAAGGTTGGGGGGGGGGGGGGAGGGATGAATATAATTTAATCCTCAAAAATAAAATTTTATGTATTATACTTAATGCATATTAAAATTGAGATTACTTCCATTTTAATTGGTCTATTATATCAACAGAGGAAGAGGGGAGAGTCAGCTGGAACGAAAAAGTCTTTATTAAACCAACATAAAATGGCACTTTATATGTGACTTTTACCGACTACTCCCTAGATATATGCTATCTAGGTGAATGAAAAACTAAAGTTCTGATCAATGGAACAAGTGCTGCTTCTAAGTCAGGTGCTCCCCTTGCCCTGTCTGTCACAGTAGCTAGGAGATAGTAGGAGTTGGTAAAGCTACAATGGACCAGGAATGGAAGCCATGTGCCAAGCACAGTAGAACCACCCCACCTTTCTGTATGACCTAGTGCTAGGCTACTGAGAGAGAAATAAGTTTCTACCTTTCCCCCACTTTTTATTTTATTTTTTAAATTATTTTTTAAAATATATTTTTTATTGATTTCACAGAGGAGAGGAGAGGGGGGAGAGAAACATCAATGATGAAAGAGAACCATTGATCAGCTGCCTCCTGCACACCTCACCAGGAATTGAGCTTGCAACCCAGGCACATGCCCTGGTCAGGATCAAAACGTGACTTCCTGGTTCATCGGTAAATGCTCAACCACTGAGCCACACTGGCCTGGCTCCCACTTTTTTATTATGAAAAGTTTTAAACTTCCACAAAAATTAAAAGAACAATATAATGAATACCCATATACTATCTAAGTCCCACTAAAACATTTTGCCATACTTATTTTATCTAAATAGCAATGTGCATATAGACATATATACCTATATGTTTGTTTTGGGGATTTTTTTTCATATATTTTTATTGATTTTAGAGAGGAAAAGAGAGGGAGAGAGAAACATCAATGATGAGAGGGAATCATTGATTGGCTGCCTCCTGTATGCCCCCTACTGGGGATGGAGCCCACAGCCCAGGTATGTGCCCCTGACCAGAATTGAACCTGGGTCCCTTCAGTCCACAGGCTGATGCTCTATCCACTGAGCCAAACCAGCCAGGGTTGTATGTTTGTTTTTGCTGAACTATCTGAATGTTGCAGACAGCATGTATCTCTTAAGAATAACAATATTCTCCTATATAATCACATCACATCTCAGAAAATTAACATATTTAATTTCTTCCGCTGACCCAAAAGTGTCTTCTATACTGGTTTTTTGAATAAGGATTCAATCAAGGCTTTTGTATTGGTTATGTCACTTTAGTACTTTTTAATTGACAACTGATCTTCCCATAAAAGATGGAAAGTTAACAGTGCTCTACTTTCCTAAGACACTGGCTTTTTTAAGAGATCAGGGCAGTGCATGAGTCATCTTGGAGGTTTTGCTAAAATGTAGATTTTAAAAGGAGACATATGTACTACTATTTGTAATACTTTAAACAAAATAAAATTTAAAAAAATAATAAATAAAATGTAGATTTTGATTAAACAAGACTGTCACAGGACCTGAGATTCTGCCTCCTTTGCAAGCTCCCAATGGGAAGCCAGTGCTGGGGGTCCACTTTCAATAGCAAGACTATAATATCCCGCATTGAATTTGACTCTTTCCTCATGGTGTTATTTAACTCTATCTCTTATGTTTCTTTAAAACTCAGTTAATTCTAAAGATTTTAGATACAAGTTATGCAATTTTTTTAAACCACTATATTTTGGAGTCTTTATTTTTTTTTAATATATTTTATTGATTTTTTAAAGAGAGGAAGGGAGAGGGATAGGGAGTTAGAAACATCGATGAGAGAGAAACATCGATCAGCTGCCTCCTGCACACTCCCCACTGAGGATGTGCCTGCAACCAAGGTACATGCCCTTGACTGGAATCGAACCTGGGACCCTTGAGTCCGCAGGCCGACGCTCTATCCACTGAGCCAAACCGGTCAGGGCTAGTGTCTTTATTAAAGTAGCTTAGCCTAAGTCCTATCTAGTATCACCTTGCTCCATGGCTCAGCTACACTGTAATATTCATGATGATTTGTTTATTTGCTTTTATTGATCAAGGTGCAAGAATCTTTCAACTCAGTAATAAATTCTGAATCTTGATTTAGTTATATAATGTCCACGTTAGGGAGCTTTTGTGAGTCATTTTATGAGTAATTTATTTAAGTCCAAGGGTCACCATATTGAACTGCAAAACATTAAGGCCTTCAAGGTCACAGAGATGCACACGGCCTCTGAGTTCCTTGACCACTTCATTTCTGATTGCCTTTTACCTCCCACTTCCTCATCCGCTTAGCCCCACAGTCCTGCTTTGCAAAATTCAAGTATTCCATTCTCTGACCACAACTTCGAGTTCTTCCAGCTTCCTTGCCCAGCCACTCCTGCTCTCCTTTAGTGACCGGGCTCACAGGAGGCTGCATCTCAACAAGTGTTCCCAGGATCACTACAGCAGGCAGGAGAAAGGAGACCTGGCAAATGGGAGTGCTGGTTCCTCAAGCGTCACTTGGAAGTGACACGTGTCATGTCTGCTCATATTTTACTGGGCAAAACAAGTCAGATGGCAACTCATTTCAAGTAGACATAGAGAGCGGGGATGTTAGCGTATACAAAGAATGCAGCCTTATCACGTTCCCAAGAGGAACAGAATATGTATGCATAGCCTGAATGAGTACATCACTGCTCTAACAAAACCCCAATCCTAGATGAACACAATTAACCACTTTCTCAATGTCTGCATCCAAATGGGCAGGAGAGTCTCCTAAGAAAGCAGAGTGGGTCCACTAAATTCACACCCAATCTCAAATGCATGAAGACATGCCATTATCTACTATTCTTTCTGGTCAACTATCCTCACACAGCCACTTGAAACCTTTTTCACTCTCCCAAACCTCCAACTCTTCCATTTCCCTACTCCTCAAAATAGAACCTGGTTTTCTACTTTACTGAAAGAGACATAATCAGATGGCAAATCTGATCTTTCCACCCCTAAATATACAAATTTACCCCCAACTATGTTAAGTTGATGTCCCAAAAAAAGAGATAGACATAACTAAAAGAATCCAGGAAAAGTGGCCCATAAATGCACAGATAAACCCTCAATAAAGAAGAACATTAACACATAAAAAAAAAGAAAAAAAAAAAGAACCGGGTATTTTATCTAAAATCTGTAAAAGACAGACTTTTTTGTTTTTCCCAAAAACACTGACTCAAACGTAACTTGGCAATGTCAATTTCCAGTGATTTTCCTGATATATACAATATGCCTACACATACTAGTACAGAATCATTTTGGACAGTAACCTACTGTTCAGCAATCACTTATCTGTATGCCTTTCTTTTTTCAATTTCCCTTTAGAGCAAAAAGACGAGTCCAATTACTAGAGCTTTAAATACTTTCTATCAGTATTGTGTCTGGGGTGTTCCAAGACCACCCTCACATTCGGAGATTCACTAGTGACTAGAGCAACTCACAAAACTCGGCATATACAGCAGTTAGTTGTACTCATAGATCACGTTTACTATGGCAATGTAGTATGAAAATACCGCCTCATCATAATGGAAAAAGATACCGCCAAAGGCTGGAGGTATCCATGTGTAGGCTTCTTTATGTTCTCTCCCTCCCAGAAGGAATCAAATCCAGCAAAATGTCTGTGCAATGTTTTTGCCCAGGGGAGCCCATTACAGACTCGCAGTCCCAGGATTTCTATGGGAGCTGATAACTTCAGCGCAACCATATTATAAAGCATAAACCATATTGTTGCCAGATACCAAACAAGCGCTAACCTCGCAGAAAGGAGCCTTTCTAAAAAGACAGCAAGCTCAGGCCTACTGTGCTCCTTTCAGCACAAATGCTTTCGGACCATTTTTCTCAGTTTTCAACGTCAGCATTACTCTAACATCTGTTCTTTTCTTTAATGTAGGATGTACAACTAAGTTGTTTAGGAATGTTTAATTTTTTAAAAGCAGGTTATGCAAAAAAAAAAAAAAAAAAGCCCATATTCTTTAAAGAAAAATATTTTTCTTACTCTTGAGCAATTATTTTCAGAGGCGGGAGGCCAGGTTGGGGGAGGGAGGGGAAACTGGGACACAACTCTCCTTTTAGATTCCAGGCTCAAAGAGATGAACAGCACTTACACAGTTTTACTGAGCATCACACTCGCTTCCAAGCACGTCTAAGCCCAGGGAATCCGCACTACCACCCTACGAGGTAGGGTACTATTATTTCGCCCATTTTACACTTGAAGAAACCGGGGTACACAGAGATTAAGTGACGGGCAGGGTTCCCGGAGCCAAGAAGTGTGTGTGTGTGTGTGTGTGGCTGTGGGGGGGTGTGGGGGGGGAGGGTGATCTGGACCCAGGCAGTCCGTTTCCAGGGCTCCCAACACTGCGCGTTGCAGCCAGAGACCCTGTAGACACGCGGCCCCCGGTCACGAACACAAACACCCCCCGTTTCTTCGGAGGAAATGCGTCGTAGAGGAGAGAATGCCAGAGGGAGGCCGGGCCAGAGGGGCGCTGGGCCGCCGCGCGCCCCGGTCGAGGTGAGGCGGGGACTCGGCCCCTCTCCCGCCAGGACGCCCCGGCCCCTCCGGCCGCCGCCCGGACACCGGGCCCGCTCAGCCGCGACCACACGGCGCTGGATGACCGCCCGGCGCCCTCCGAGATCAGCAGGACGGGAGGGCGCAGGGGGGCCCCTCTCCCAGGCCCATCACGCCCCTGGGGGTCAGGGTCGCGGAAGCCAAGACCGAGCAGCTGCGACCCCGCAGCCCCAACTCACCCGCCGGGCCGGGCCTCCGGGTCCACACCAGAAGGGACTGCGCCTGCGCGGCCGTCCCGCCGGCGGCGGGGGCGGGGCCGGGGGCGGGGCCGGGAGCCGGGCGGACCGGAGGTCTGGGCGGGCGGGCGGGCGGGGACCGCCCTGGGGAGCTGCGCACCGGACGGGGCGTGGACAGGGCTGGCCCGGCGCGGTAAGGCCTGCGTTCTCTCCGTGGGCAGAGCCGGTCGGCGCCCGCTGATCTTAAAATAATAGCGCAGGGCTCCCGTTTGGATTCGAATAGCAGCCTGGAGTGCGCAGCTCGGTCTTCCCAGGGTCGGGATGAAATCTCCCTTGTTGCTGCACACCTGCTGGGACAGCCTCTTCCTTTCCTCGTCACACTGTACAACCAAGTCACATCTGACAGCCATCATACATTACCTTGCTTTTCTTCATTGTGATTGTCTTATCTTTCTTATTTCCTTTCTGGACAGGGAACTTCTTGATCTACACCTATACCTCTTGAAATTTAGATCACCCGTTAAAGTGGTCTGCATATTGCATATGCTTAGTAAACGTAGCTGGTTTGGAAATATTTCGATTGAACTGAAGCAAGGGAGCAGAGTCCCAGGTTCTATCCCTCCCCTCCCCTTCTAGGTTAGGGCACTACGGGTTGACTTGTGGCCAGACACCTGTCCCCTTACTGACCCCCTCCCCTTTGGGTAATGAAATGTCCACCGAGCTATCAGCGCTGCTCTCCAGTGGGTCACAAGTGGAACTCAAGGCTAAGAAATAGCTGAGTAAGAAATAGTTGAGATGGCCCCAGCGGGTTTGGCTCAGTAGATAGAGCCTGCGGACTGTAGGGTCCTGGGTACCGTTCTGGTCCAGGGCACATGTCCAGGTTGCGTGCTCGATCCACAGTAGAGGGCGTGCAGGAGACAGCCGATCAATGATCCTCTTTTATCACTGATGTTTCTCTCTCTCTCTCCCTCTCCCTTCCTCTCTGAAATCAATAAAAATGTATTTTTTAAAAAATAGTTGAGACAGCCTGACCGGTTTGGCTCAGTGGATAGAGTGTTGGCCTGCGGACTGAAGGGTCCCAGGTTCGATTCCAGTCAAGGGCATGTACCTTGGTTGTGGGCACATCCCCAGTGGGGGGTGTGCAGGAGGCAGCTGATCAATGTTTCTCTCTCATCGGTGTTTCTAACTCTCTATCCCTCTCCCTTCCTCTCTGTAAAAAATCAATAAAATATATTAAAAAAAAATAGTTGAGACAAACGAAAACTAGTCTCAGCCAAAATTAGCAGTCACGTTTACCTACATCTTAGTTTTGGGGCCTAGTTTTGAGGCAACTCTGCCCTCCAGAAACCCCCCCATCCAGAGAGGAGGGACTGAGATGAGTTGCACAAGGAACACCCCGGCCCCCACCCCCAGCATCAGAGACCACTAGCCACCTCCATTCCCTCCCCTTGCTATGGTAGAAACCTCCACCCAGACTCCATGGGTTGGACTCACTTCCTGAGTTGGCCCACACTCTACTCCTTCTTGAGAATGTACTTTAATAAATCTTATGTGCTTTGTTTACTCTCTCTGTCTCGCTCTTGAATTTTTTCCTGCCCAGTGACAAGAACCTGGACACTGTCACTGGGGTGAGGCCTCCCTTGGCCTCCCTGTGAGCCCTCCAGCATCAGAATGATATTGCAAACATTAATGCTAGTTATGGATAAGCTCTACAATTCTTATAATCTTTCCAGGTTCTTCAGCATGGGTCAGGTTTGGCCTTATGAATAGAGCCTTGGATTAAGAGTCAAAAGATATTAGAGATAAACCAAAACATAACAACAAAACTCCAATTCATTTCTTATGAAATAAAAATTATTTCCATGTAGAGAATTTGGTTAAGGAGATTACTAAATGTTTACATTGTGTATGGAAACCATATTTTTATATAATTACCATTTTTTAAAAGAGAACACGGATTACATTAAAGTCTACACTCTATTTCACACTTGATTTTTTTTCCACCTGACAGTATATCTTGGACATATTTTCACAGTAGCCTCATTTTTTTATCAGTGAATGGATGTATCACTTTTTTTTCCCCTCTCCAATTATTCCCTTATTAATGTACATTTTTCCTTGCCTACTTGTGGAAATGTTTTCTGTAGACTATTAACAATGGAAATGCTGAGCCAACAGATTGATTTCAATTTTAATTTTTGATAGAAACTCTTTTGAAAAAAGTTGTATGAAAGGCAAAACATTTCCTAATTCTTCACTTGATTAAAAAAAATATCTAGGGGCTTGAAGTGGATTTAGAAAGAAATGAGAAAAACCTCAACTCTTTTTAATAATCCTTTCCTTCCTACTTGTCTTATGCTCCCCCCCCCAAAAAAAAAGGAGCAAAGAAAAAGAAAATGAGTTGTTTGAAAATTAATCGTTCATATCAACTTAGCATTAGTAGTCCTCTCCCAGAAAGTTAAATGATTTCTTTCCCTTTCATCCCACTTTAAGCCTTGCTAACTCTCTCTGAAGGAAGAACTTTGACACTCATCTGAGGAGCAATCTCTTTTGACAACATCTTTATGCTCTAAGAACTCTTAAATAAAGCAAGTTTGGCACTGTGCTAGATATGAAAGGACACATTCACCTTTTCAGAAAAAAAATCTCACAGAAACATATTTCTCAAATAATTAGTCATAAACATTAGGAAAAAGCTGTTTAGTAATGTGTGCTCTTGCCAAAGCATAAATCATTAAAGGTGATTCATGGAGACATATACATTGTTTTCATGTCTGTGTCCATACAACTGATAGTTTATAATGCATATTCAAGACAGCTTGGGGATGCCATGGAGAGTACATGAATCTGCAATATATAATGACATCTTGGTTCAAAGTTAATCCACCAAATAGATTACATAGAGACTATGATTAAGATCCAAATGATTTGGAAAAAAATAATCGTAAGTGATGTTATTGGCATAGAAATCTGAAGTGGTTTTAATAATTATTAAATTATTGAAAATGGAACAATTGAAAAGTACATGTTTAATGAAATTAACATGGGAAGGCATTTATAAAGATATGGGTGCTTGGACACTAATAATTCCATTTAGACATTAATTTTTAAATTCCTACTGTGAATAAATTCACATTTAAGTATAGCTTTCTTAATATAGTTCCAAGTATGCTTGGAACCCAAGTTAAGAATAAATTTAAAACAAGATAATAAGAAACTTTATGTGATAGGCTGAATAATGCCCCCCCCCCCCCCCCGCCCCGCAAAGTGTTCTAATTCCTGAAACCTGTGAGTATGTTACCTTACATGGCAAAAGGACTTTGCAGATGTGACTAAATTAAGAATCTTAAGATGGGAGGTTATCCTGGATTATCTGAGTGGTCCCAGTGTAAGGACAAAGGTCCTTATAAAAGGCTCTATCAGTGGATAGAGCATTTGCCTGCTGACTGAAGGGTCCCGGGTTCAATTCCGGTCAAGATCATAGATCTTGGGTGCAGGCTCCATCAGGCCCTGGTCAGGGTGTCTGCCAGAGGCAACCAATCGATCTGAGACACATCGATGTTTCTCTCTATCTTTTCCTCTCCTCTCCACTCTCTCTAAAAATCAATAGAAAAATACCCTGTGGTGAGGATTAAAAAAAATTAAAAAACAAGAAAAAAAGGGAGGCAAGAGGATCAGAGGAAAAGAAGGGATGTATAACAGAATCAGGTCACAGTTAGAGAGAAATTTGAAGATGCTAAACTGCTGGCTTTGAAGATGGGGAAGGGGACCACTAGCCAAGGAACGCGGGCAGCCTCTACAAGCATGTCAAACTCAAAGGCTAACACAGGCCAGATAAACAAGATTTCAGTTTATGTGGGCTGCAAAAAAACAAAAGCTTCAATTTTCATAGAAACGTAGGTTTATTTCTATAGAGACAACTGAATACAAAGGGCTGAAATAAATGAGTAATCGTTAACATAAAATAATAGAACATTTTAATAAAAATTAATATTTTTTCTTGAACATTAACTTACCAGACACTGACTTACTACACAAATTAATAAGCGTAACGCGAATAAACCTATTTTTCTTCTTCTTCGAAAGCAAAATATTTCCTGTTGCGCACACCAAACAAGTCAGTCTAAGACTAATGATGTAGCAATCAGCTGCTAAAATATTCGCTGCTAGTATTAGTGGAGAGAAATGGTGCACCTGCATGTAAGGCGCAAAAGGGAAATGAATGCGACATGATTATAGTAATCTGTCACTAGCGAACACTGTAGTTTGTTATTAATAATTATGTATAACAGGATATTGTAAAAATTAAGTTACAAAATTTTTATTAAAACATTCTTACAGCCCTAACCGGTTTGGCTCAGAGTGTCGGCCTGTGGACTGAAGGGTCCCAGGTTCGATTCCTGTCAAGTGCATGTACCTTGGTTGCGGGCACATCCCCAGTAGGGGGTGTGCAGGAGGCAGCTGATCGATGTTTCTCTCTCATCGATGTTTCTAACTCTATCCCTCTCCCTTCTTCTCTAAAAAATCAGCAAAATATATATTTTTTAAAAAGTTTCTTACATACTGTTATATTGGCTGGGCCGCAGAAATATTCATTGTGGGCCACGTGCAGCCCACGGTCCGCGAGTTGTCATGCTTGCTCTCGTAGATGGGAAAGAAATTCTCGCCTAGAGCCTTCAGAAGGAACACAGGCTTGATGACACCTTAATTTTAGCCATGTGAGACTGCTGACCTATATAACTGGATAATAATAAATTTATATTGTCTTAAGCCAGCAAACTTGTGGTGATGTATTATAGTAACAATTGGAAACTAACACATTTTTAAAAAGTAGTTGCACCCTAACCCTGACAAAGTTATCACCAAATATCATCAAATATCAGCAAGTGGTGGGGAAAAGATGGCAGCATGAGATTATCATAACACTCAAATCAATGGAACTATCGGAGCCAAGAGCAATTCTGAGAACAACCTCCACGTAGTTTGCTTTAATCTATAATATTAGAATCCCGTTGAAGCAAATTGGAGAAATGTATTTAAATCTTTAAATATTATCTTTGGTATATTTCTTACTTTCT